GTATGTGGTGCTGAGCTGAGGATCGAACCCCGGCCGCATGCATGCCAGGCGATCGCGCTACCGCTTGAGCCACATCCCCAGCCCAACCACTAGTTTTCTTAATTGCTCTGTTCCCTATATACATACAGTGATTTCAGAATGGTTAATTTATACCACAGTAGACACAGTTTTATAGACTCTAACCATTTCCAAAGTTACTTAGGTTAGCAAATTTTCTCCCATCTGCTTCAGTGAGGTTGTTTCATAATATAGTTATTTTGTCCCATTCTTTATCCCATCTTGGAATCTTCTGACCTCCTAAATAATTTTTTAATTTGCATGCATTAAGGCTGGGGATGTAGCACAGTGGTAGAGGCCCTGCATTTGATTCCCAGAACTACACACACACAAAATTGAATACATTAAGGTTCTGTGGATTTTGACAAATGCGTGATGTCATATTACCATTACAGTATCACACAAAATAGTTATACTACCCTAAAATATGTGCTGTGCTGCTTCACCTATTCAATCCTCCTCTCCCACTAAACCCATACTACTTCACTTCTCAGCTCCACAGTTTTGCCTTTCCATGATGTCATATGAACAGAATTTTATAATCAGACTTGCTTCTTTCACTTACCAATATACACTTAAAATTCATCCAGATCTTTGCTTAGTTTGGTAGTTCATCCTTTTTTAAAATTTGCAATAAAATACACATAACAAAATATACCACCTTAATCATTTCCAAGTGTATGATCCAGGGGTATTAAGTGTACTCACACTGTTGTGTAACCATCATGCCATCTGTCCACAGAACTCCTGCAAAACTGAAACTCTCAACCCATTAAACATTAACTGCCCATTCCTCCTCCCCACCTCCTCTTGACAACCGCCATTCTACTTTCTATCTGTATGAACTTCACCAACCTAGAACCCCATATAAGCGAGAGCACACAGTATTTCTTTTGGTGACTGGCTTATTTCACTTACATATTGTTCTCAAGGTTCACCCATGTTGCAGCACCCATGTTTCCCCCTCCCCTGGGAAAACTGTAAAGTTTTATTGAGAGAATTTAAGTCGTATTTTCAATATGACAGTATGTATGGCTTAAGTTTGACTTAACTTATGGCTGCCCATCATCTACTTTCGGGATTTCAGTACTCTGTAGGTTTGGTAGACTTCCCTTTCACATCAGGACCATCTCCACGTTCAGCCTCAGTCTTTTCCATACCCATTTCCAGGCATTCACTTTCCAATTCAGGTTCATCTTTACCATAAATTGCAGGCTCTCCTTCCTTTCTTTCTTGTCCTGGTTTAATATTCTAATTCCAGAGGAGGCGCCTGCTGGAGGAAATGGAAGCATAAAACAGGAGTCACCCACAGGTGGCAGAGCAGAGGTCTAGTTCCCTAAAGGCGTTTTGTAAAGCGGTTTCAGTGTACACTGGTGCCAACTTGTCTGATTCTGGTGAGAAAGAATATCCCTATGCACACATTACGTGAATCAGCTCAATTACAGGTAGGTGGCAAGGCAAGAGAAGTCTAGGATTCACTGTAAGCCAGTATTTTCAAGCTCGAGAACGTTGTCCAGGGGAGATGGCTCTAATTTCAAGTGCCCACTTGGCGCTGCGGTTTTTGGGACCCTGGAAAGCAGTCTACTCTGGTTTTAACTCCTGGAAGCCATCCAACACATTGGGCTAACCCACTGGAGGGCATGTTATTTCTAGGGGAGGCTGAACAAAGCCCAGGCTGTTCAGCCATCTCATCTGTGTTAGTCAGCTTTTCACTGCTATGACAAACTGCCTAAGAAAAACAACTTAAGGGAGGAAAGACTTGTTTTGGCTCATGTTTTCAAAAGGTTTTAGTTCATGGTCAGCTGGCTCCATTGATTTAGGCCTGAGGCAAGGCAAAACATCATCATAGCAGAAGGATATGGAGGAGGAAAGTTGCTCACCTCATAGCAGTTGGAAAACTAAGACAGGAAGGGGCTGGGGACAAGATGTAGTTCCCACTCCCTCCAATTACGTTCTACTTCCTACAGTTCCCGGCACTTCCCAATAGCCTATTCAGCTATGGATCCCTCAATGGATTAACTCATTGATGTGGTTAGAATCCCCACGATCCAATCACTTATGAAATCCCAACACTGCAGCATTGAGTACCAAGCCTTCAACATGTCTTAGGGGAACACTTCAATCCAAACCATAATATCCCCCTTATCTCAGGATGTTGTACTCCCTGTAAATTGTACAGTTATTTTTAAGAACTATAAGTGAGAAATGGGGGAGAACTAGGGAATCCAAGGCCATCTAGACTGTCTCCAACTTCAAAGTGCTTTTCACTCAGCAACATTGCTTTTCTTTCCTTCTATTAAGGAAACATGAAAGTAGACTCTGGCCTTACCCCACACCAGATCATGTGGACACTTCACCTAAAGTCTGATAAATCTTCCTACTACTTATATAACACAAAAGAGAAAAAGACAACCTTTAAAGGAAAAAAGGGAAAAGAGAACCTTTAAAGGAATCTGACAGATACCATCTTTATCAGGAGATCAGTAATTTTCATTGATAATGAAACATCTGAAATCAAGTGTCAACTGACTTCTGTGATATTCCTGCTAAAGTTTATATCCTGAAACTCATATCTAGGAAACATCAGACAAACCCACAGTCAAGGTAGTTCTCGAAAATAATCCTCCAGGCCATGAAAGTTAAGAAAGGACTAAGGAAATTTCAGATTGAAGGAAACCAATAAGTCATGACAACTAAATGCATGCATGATTTTGAACTGAATCTTTTTGTTATAAAGAACAATATTAGGACAAATGGCAAAACTTGAATGGGGTTAAGAGGTAGATGGTAATGTAAGGGTCCGGCAAACGACAGAGGAAGAGACCACCAAGAGACTGACTCATGCAACAGCAAAAGGGGGTTTATTGAGGATCCAGCGCGCTGGGGCTCCAGGCTCACTCAAGAAGGGAGAGCGGCCAAGAGCCCTGAGCAGGGGTTGAGCAGTGCTTAAGTACACTTTTTGGGGAGGGCGGGGGCTTTGCATACATCAGAGCAAATCATCATGAGGCAGGGAAAATCAAACAACAACTCTCAAACATGATTAGCACATTCATTGGCGGGAACAGGTCTGGCGGGAGTGATAGGTCAGTCCTAAGGAGAGGGGTACATTCAAACTGATTGGTTTAGGCCCTGAGGTGCCTATGTGCTGAGCTGCACTGGGTCCAAGTTGTTAAACAACTAAGTGGTCAGGGGGGATTTTTTAATGGGCAGTCCCAGGAATTGTCCTAACAGCTACAGGAATTTCAGGCTTTGAGTGTAGCATAGAAACTTAACAATACCTGGTCCTTTACATTTTAACTCAGGCTTTGCAGCTTAGAAACTTTACAATACCTGGTCCTTTACATTTTAACTTCATTTTTTTTATCCTTTCAGTAACAATGTTAATTTCCTAATTTTGATAGTTTTATTGTGACAGTCTTATTTATAGCTATATACTTATCCATAGATAAGTATAGTGGTATATGGTATATGGTAGTGTTTCTATAGATAACACTACCACTGAGCTACATCCGAGCCCTTTACACTATATTTTATTTTATAATATTTTTTAGTTGTAATGGATCTTTTTTTTTCCAATTTATTTATTTATTTATATGCAGTGGTGAGGATCAAACCCAGGGCCTCACACATGTGAAGCCAGATTTAAAGATAGGTAGTTAGTGTAGTTAGGTAAATCAGGTCTAATATCAGTAAAATCGAAAATGAAGGCCATATTGAGAATGGAGTCCAGGGAAAGGGGAATTGAAAATGTCCCCAAGGCCCAGAGCCCATCCCAAGGAAATGTTAATGAAGTAGCTCCCAGCAAACCTGGAGATACTAATCCAAAAGTCCTTCCTGCCCAGATTACTCCTCAGGCCCATGGGTCTCCCACCCTTTGGGCCTTCCCATCTACATTCTATCATTGCAAGATAATAGAACAAAGGACAGGAATGCGGGAAAGACCTCCCTCTTCCATGAATTCCACCTCTTGGGTCCCCTTCCTCCCGGGAGAAGTCTTTTCTGCTGTCCTTAATAAAGCTTCTACTTTCCACTCTAAACTTGCCTTGGTGTGCTTCTCTGGTGTTTTACTTCAACATTGGGGAAGTAAGTGAAAAACCAGCCTCTACCTCAGAGCAAAGCCTGAAGGGGGCGTGACCCTTGTCCTTGGAAAGAACCACAGAGCACTCCTAGGCACATACCCACCCTGCTGAGTTGTTTATCTACAAATAACAGGAGAGATCTGCTGTGCCAGGTGTCCCTGACTCAAAATCAGGCTAGGTGGGGACCCATAGCAACCCCCTAGCAGCCATCAATCAGCATGGGTCAGGGAAAATACCTGGGATGTTAAATGACTCTCCCAGTAGTTTATGGTGGTTGATAACATGTTGGGAAACCATGTAGTTCAGCATGTACTCCCCTCATGGTTTAAACCAATCAGTTCAAACGAATCCCCTTCTTATACTAACCAATCACTCCTAACCACCTTGTTCCTGCCAGTGAATGTGCTAATCATGTTTTAGAGTTGTTTTATGATTTTCCCGCGGTGTGTGATGATTTGCTAAGAGATGCTATGATGTATGTGGGGTCCTTGCCTTCCTCAAAGAATGTAAAACTGCTGCAAACCCTGGGCTTGGGGTCTCTCAGCGTCACCAGTTGCTGTGTGGGTGCAGAGGACTGAGCTAGCTCGCAATAAACATCTCTTTGCTGCTTACATAGATCTTGGTCTCTGGTGGTCTTTTGGGGGTCCCGAATTCGATCATAACATAAGGACTTGTCACTGGTAAACAGCGACAAGTCCTTATGTTATGCCAGGCAAATGCTCTACCACTGAGCCAACTCCAGCCCCTTTACACTATATTTTAATTTTGTTTTCTCTTCTATTCCTTCTTTTATGCTATTCAAGAGCAAAGACTGTCTTCATTGCCGTTTCACTAAAGTTAACACAGATCTTAGCTCATCTGGAGTTATTTTCTTTTAATATTTTTTAGTTGTTGATGGATCTTTATTTTATTTACTTATATATGGTGCTGAGAATCGAACCCAGTGCCTCACACATGCTAGGCAAACACTCTACCACTGAGCCACAACCCCAGCCCTCATGTGGAGTCATTTTAATTAGTCATTTCTTGCCTCTGAAAATAGAAAAAGATGTATTTGATGTGAAATATTAAATTAAATCATAAGTAATTAGTTGAATTTATATTGCTCTTGTTCTTTACTTGAACAATGTCCAAAGTCCTTTCAATGACAATGTATATTACAATGATATTAAAATTTCTTACCAAAGTCCAAAGACCAGTTTTCTACACAGATTTTGCTAGTAAAGGTGAATTATCAGCAAAGCAATAAACAAAATGCATTTACATTAAATAATTCTCAAGTGACTTCTAGTAAAGAGAATCAATGAAGAAATTATACCACAGGTTTGGTTTTAAAGTAATCTCTTTAAATAGCAGCAACTAAAACATAGTTTTTATTTATCTGAAATTTTTTCCTTATTAAGCATCAACACAGGAAAGAGGAAAGGACTTTTTCTTTGTGATTTGTGAAAGAATTGAGTTATTTAAAAATTCAGAGTTTATAAAAATTTTTATTGATACCACAGAAATCTTCACATTAAAAGGGGAATTTCCAGGAGGCTTGGTGGTACACGCCTGTAATCCCAGTGACTTGGGAGGCTGAAGCAGGAGGATAGCAAAGTAGAGCCAGACTTAGCAACTTAGCAAGACCCTGTCTCAAAATAAAATTTAAGGGGAAAGGGTGGGGATGTAACTCAGTGGTAGTATCCTCCTGCACTTAATCTCCAGTACCATAAGATCCCCCCCTGCCCCCAAAAAAGTATTTTCATTAGGTTATAAAAGGACAAGTTGAAATTGGGAATAAAACCGAGAAAAACCTTCCAGAAGTTCTTCTCACTCTCCTTCCTTTTTCCCTCCCCTCCAATTCCATGAAATGTGGACTTGCGGTCAAAAGAGCCAGCTGGAACAGAATTGTAGCTGAACAGTGCCAAGGTATTTGGAAACTCCACTCTGAGCCATGACACCATTCCATTAGCACAAAACTTTGCTAGGTGCAAGGTCTGAGGAACCCTAGTATTCTCTCCCACTCTGCACCCCAAATGAGTGAGTTGTTGGGACTATGGTGTGATGGCAAAAGCCAAGACTCGGACTCCAGCTTCTGAAAACTTCTGTTTCACCTTTAAGCATCTACTTTACTATTTCCTTTGTGCTAGGCTCTGTGCTAAAGAGTTTTCACCCTGTTTAAAACAAACCACTATTCTATGAGTGGACTTCT